GCTTACTCGACAAAATCTGTAGACTGTGCAGGGCGCGTATTGAAACTGATCCAATTCAATTTCCTTTGGATTTTTGACCCACAAAAAGCGTGTTGCATCGCGGTCAGATTCTCGTACTCCCAGCTGAAGAAAAGCCTTCTCTATATCTGCTAATATTACTCGCTTCATAAATCGAAAGCGCAGTAATATTCCAATGAGTTGTTTTAGCAGAAGAGGACCAGTGTGAAGACAATTATTCAAAGAAGGTGCCGAAGGCTGACTTGGAGGCCGCGCACTTGCATCCATGACAATGCGGACCTTTGTATAGGCTTTATCCATTTTAAGAACAGCCCTATGAGGAAGATAATGAACTGGGCCTGTACTTTCTCCAGGATTGGGCACAAGTTCAATGACGCCATGGGCCAATTGTTCGTCGATGATCTTTTGATATTCATCGATAATCTTCAGTTGTCGGAGTTTTCGGAGCGTGCTAGCTAGTCTCATTTTTGCGTGTCGATAATTTGTGGGGAGGCTGTGAATCTGGTGGTTGAAAGGCAGTGCAACCTGATATCGGCCCTCCACAAATGTTAAGTTCTTTTTAAAATTTTGCATAATTTCGTCGTTGTCTATAGGTTGGAGAGTATCGTCCATTCCTATTGAATGTAACCCGAAGAAGGTCGCGAGATGCTCATTGTTCTCTCTGTCATTAATTGTAATTGAGTTGTCATTAGGTGCATTGTAGCTTGGCACATTGATGTGGGACGAATTGTCTCGTGGCAAGTTGTCGTTTAGAGAATCTTCGTTGCATTCGAAGGTGGCGTTAACTTGCACCGAGGCGGCATATATTGTATGTGATCCTGTGGTTTGCTCAATTTTTCCGGCGCCGCTTAGAAGTTGTCCGAGCCGAGATTCACTAATCGTAAAACCGCTCGGTAGTGTTGCCTTCTTCTCAATTTTGAGCTCATGGAACAGATCCATACCTATCAGTAGATCTGGTTGTCGGTAATTGACATTCGTAGTGAGTTGTAGTTGATTGAGCTCCTCGTTGGTAAGCTCCTTTAGATTATACAGTGGCAGAGGATTGACGAGAAAACTTAATTTGTTTAAGACGATGCTTAATTTTTCTCCCTCTTCAGTCTGTAAATTTGCGCGCACCAGATCACTTTTATATTCTTTGGCCCGCCTTTCACCAAAGCTCGTTAATCTGCAGGTGTCATTGGCCAGCACTATTGGCAATTTGAGAGCGTCAGATAGTCTGGCAGAGATAAACGATCTTTGACTCCCAGGATCGATGAAAATCAAAGCTTTTTCTTTAATATGTGGCCTTGCCGGATTACAAACCGGAGCCTCAAGAGTCATAAGTAGTGCCTTCGATTCTTTGTCTTCCACTACGTTTGCTTGTTCAATTTGACAATTTGTTGCACTTGGTTGATCCTTTCTTTGTGTTCTGACAATATTTTCTTGCCTATGGGCGATTGGTAGTTGGTTTGGGTTTCGTTGGAAACATAGCGCAGAGGGATGCCATCTTTTGCAATAGTAGCACTTTGCTGGGTTTTTGCATTCTGAACTTAAGTGGTTCCTTCTTAAGCACCGTGTGCAGAGCTTCTTTTCTTTGGCCAGTTGTAGTCGCGCTTGTGGGTTACTGTATTTGGTGCATTTGTCATTCCAGTGTGCGAGACCACAAAAAATACAATCTGGAATAGAAGTTCGAGTATTGACTTGTTGCCTTGCATTTTTTAAGCCCCTTTGAATTTCCTGCCTTTGTATTGCCTGTTTATTCGATTGAGTTTGAGTTCGTTGAGTCATTACTCTTTGCCCTTGAGTTATTGCTGCGTAAGTGTAATCTGGCCGTTGAAATTGGGGTTGTGGCCTTTGAAAGTTTTGTCGATTTGGTCTCGGTTGTCGTCTAGTGGAATCATGTTCGTACTCGTTCATTACTTCTTGGATGGCAACTTCTTTTTGAAGCGCTTCGATAAGTGCTCTACGAAATTTATTTGTTGACCAATTGGACGGGTCTTCTGCCTTTTTCGATAAAATTGCGCGTAAAAACGGCTTATTCAATTTTTTCTCTAGCATTAAATGGACAGCTGGTCCCTCGATGTCCTCGCCCATGTTTTTCATTTCCCTGGCAAGGCGCTCAAGGTCGAGTGAAAATTTCTTGACGTCATTTAAAGTATTGCAGATTTTCAAATTTGCTAGTCGAGAATGAAGATTACGGATGTGTGCATCCTTATCACCATATTGGTCCTTTAGAAGCTGGAGAGCTTCCTTGTAGTTCTTCGCCTCTAAGCGGAATCCGGCAATTAACTCGCGCGGTTCGCCGTCAACGAGGTTACGAAGTAATGTAAGTTTTTCGATGTCAGACCCTGAGCTCGAGTCCACCGCGCAACGGAAGCTTTCGTAGAATTCTAACCAGTCTTTTCTGTCCCCGTTAAAGCGTTTTATCTGTAGAGTGGGGAGTTGATAAATGGAAGAAATTGCTTGTCGAGTAGCGACACTGCTACTCGATTCTTGTTGCGGCGTCGACGCTTGGAGTGACTGAGCATGTTCCAGTTCTTCTCGCCTTTTTTCCTTTTCAAGCTTCGAAGACAATAACTTCATTTTAATTGTGGTACTTGAATGGTGGTCACGCAAATTTCGCAGCATTAATTCAATAGTTTCCATAGATTTGTCCAATTTTTGCTCGGCTTGGAAAGCCTCAAATTCTTCATTAGCCTGCTTTCTCTCGTCCCCCGGCAGTTTTCGAAGTAGGTCAATATATTGCGCCAAGGCGGATCGAATATCACTCAGATACCCTTCACCCGTCGCAATCTCGGAGGCGATTTTGTCTACAAGCGCTTCCAATTTCAAGAATTTGGTTTCGAGGTTGTCTGATTCCGATACTTCCTCGCTTAAGTCTTTTACTGTTCGCAATCTTGCCAGAGTGCGTATAGACGAGATGATTGTTGCTTTAATAGGTGCTGCCATGTTGATTCAGTTTTTCAAGAATTTGAGAGAGAGGACGCAGATTTATTAGTGTTTCACCGGAACCGAAATTTTGACCGTAACCGGAACTTAGCAATTTCAAGTAAAGGGCTCAGGTTCCGAAATTTCGATTTTACTTGTACTCTTACCTCCCAAAAAACCTAACCGAACTGTCTACCGATCAACAAAGACTTTGCACAGAGACAAAGTTTTATTGAACAAAATTTAATTGAAAAATTGGGCCCACCAAATACAAAAAAGCGTATAAAAACGCTTACTTTGTATGAAAATTTGAACGACCAAAAATAAGCACAAAGGCAAATTCTTTGGCGTTTAGTAAAAAATAAAAAAAAAATTTTTTTCCAGTTTAAAAAATCTTATTTTAGGCCCAATAGATTAGAGAAACCTAATTCCGTAAAATTTTCTTTTTAAAATTTTAATTTAATTTTTCTACCACCTCAACAAAACAGGTTGCAGACAGTGCTTGGAAATTTCAGATTTGCTCGTACTCGTAATTCGTACCACACAATGTTCAAAGCAATTTGGAAGCAGGAATTGCCAGTTGTTTGCAAAGAAGCTCGTACCAAAATTCGTATTTCTGTTGTTATTTGTGTTGTTTGGCTTGAGCCCCCAGTTTAATATCTCAGAACAATAAAGAATCAACGAATTTTAGATAAATTTTATTCTTAATACTAGGGTTTATAACAATTTAGGCGGGAATAATTTTGGGCAGAAAAACGGACTCAAGAACTGAAAAATTAGTAAGAAAATTGGCCTTAAAAGGCAAAATTGATCTCAAGAAAAAGATGAGAGGGGGTGAAGGAGGAGCAAATATTTGTTAAATTATTAAACAGTTTGGCGAATAATGAGGGGAGGAATTGTGGAATTTTTGGCCCATTTTGGCGGAACGGGCCAAATTTAAAGAAAAGAATAGTTTGGCCCGTTCCGGCCAAAATGGGCCAAAAATTGGGCAAATATAGAAAAGGGAAATAATAGGTTGATCACATTCTAAAGTAATTAAATGATTTGTCGGGCCCATTTTTTGGGGGAAGCAATAAGAAGAATTTTGGTGCTTCCGCCCAAAAAATGGGCCCGACAGGTTTTTATTTATCAAAAAATTAGTTTAACAATAATAGAGGGAAAATGCGCGAATGCTCACGCACATAATTAATTTATTTATTTAAAAATATATTTATTAAATATTTTTTCTACAGGTCGACGCTTATTCGCGGTACCCCTTTATCTTTGAAATGAAAAGTACGACGTCAATTTTTGTAATAAATGCCCTTAAAGATGTGTTTTCTATGTTCGGACCGCCATCATGTTTGGTGAGTGACAACGGTCCACAGTTCACCTCTTTTGAATTTGCGACGTTTTTGAGAAGCTGCGGAGTAAATCACATAAAGTCACCTCCCTATCACCCACAAAGCAACGGTCTTTGTGAGCGCTTTGTACGAACGTTCAAAAATAGCGTTTTAAAAGGGCTTGACGGCAATAACTTAAAAGACGCCATTCCTGAGTTTTTGAGTGAATATAGAGCAAGCCCGCACCCTAGTTTAGAAGGTGAATCCCCTTCATATTTATTTTTAGGGAGACAAATTAAATCAAAAATTGATATACTAAAATATTCACCAAAAGAAAATTTAAATAAGCCGACAGACGAAAAAGTTGAAAATAAAAGAGAAAGCCGTAAAAGAAAAATATTTAAAACAGACGATTTAATTTGGGCTAGAAATTACACTGGAAATGATAAATGGTTAAAAGGGAGGGTAATAGAAGATAAGGGAGACTATATATATGGAGTTGAAATGGAGGATGGCTCAGTTAAAATTTCACACATAGACCAGTTACGTAGTCGCGGAAACTACCAACTGAGATCCCGCAGTCAAAGCCCAGTTGAAACAGACTGAGGAAGAAGAAGTTGGAATACTCTAGTCAAAATAATCCTTTAAATTTTTCCTATTTTTCTTTTATGTTTTATATTCATCCACTAATATTTTTTGTATTTCTAGAAATATTTTCATTTAATTATTTAATTTTCTTATTCAATGGATATTATGGACGTCGAAATGGATCAAACTCCTAAAGAAGACCAACAACAAAAACCTCTAATGGATAGAGAGAATGCTTTAAATGTTCCTAAAGAAGACCAACAACAAAAACCTCTAATGGACAGGGAGAATGCTTTAAAAAATGCTAAAAGTAAAAGTTCTAATCTCTCTATTATCAATTATACCTCCTTTTTAGGAGAGATTCGAAAAGAAGGGTTGTCTACTCGTGAGACTGTTAAGAAATCTCACGACTTTATTCGTGAAGCTATGGAAACTATGAAAAAAGAGCTTGTGAAGGATATTCTTATAGAGCTAAATCCTCGCCTTAATATTTTGGAGGAATTATTAAAAGAAATTAAAGAAGAATTACCCACTAAAAAAGGTGAGTCAGAGTCAGGAGACTCTGATAATGAAGATGAGGAGGAGGAGGAAGGGCAACAGGAAAATCAAGAAAATCCTCCTCCTGCACAACAAGAAAATCAACAACACGTGCAGCCCCACGGAGAAGAAAATAATCGTGAAATTAATAACCATAATCAAGGAAGACGTTTCTACCGTGGGAATGGACAAAATGCTAGGCGCCCACGAGACTCACGTTTATTTTACCTTTTACGTCAGCTTGATCGCGAAAGAGGCATGGATGCTGGTTGTGACCGTTACCGACCGTATTACCCACGTGATCGTGGAGAATTCAATCGAAATGAGTATCGAGGAAGAAACGACCGCAGAGGATATCGGCGTTAAATTTTTTAAGGGGGAAAGGAGTGTTGAGTCCCTAATTTGTTTAAATATTTGTTATCAATTTTTTAAATGTTATTTTCCTTAATTTAACTTGTTTCTGTTAAACATCTTTTACAATATGCCCTTTTTCCATATATTCAAAAAACTTCCGCTCCAACCTTTTTATCTAAACTTTTTATATTTAAAACATTCCCTCTCAACATCATTTAAATATATTTTCCTTTTTATCCAAACATTCAACTTTCCTTATCGAACTTATTTATGACCCATAAACCAAACTTACATGTTATACTCTCTCATATCCCGCCCTCATATGTTCATATAAATATCCACACAAAATTAACTGAATTACCTTCATACTTGTACTCAATACCTTTTTAACTGAATTAAACGTAACTTACTTATTTGTTGAAAATAAACTTGAATTAAAACTTGTCTATTATTTGTTTGAGTAAAATAATCTAAAACTAAATTAGGAACCTCAACAAAAAGTTTGAGAGAATATAAATTAATTAATAAGAACCGGGACATAATACTAATGATTTTCTAATTAATTGAGTGTCTTGTTATCGCAATTTCAGATTTGCATGTTGACTTAAACTAAAGAAGTTTATTTATATGTATCCGCGTATAAGGATATGTATCCCTTTGAATATTTAAACTGGTTTTCTATTATCATATTAATTTTTACAATGTGATTTCTTAAATTCTTCAAATTTCATTTTTATAACTCTTCAGAAATTAAGAAAAATAACATATTTTTAAATAAAAATGTAATTTTTATGCATATTTTGTTTTTTTTATATTTTAATGTTTTAATCAAAAGTCATTAAACTTTGTGTAAATACTTAGTAGTCTTCTATTTTTCATCATGTGTAGAAGCTATTTTTTATTTACTTGACATGGTAAATATTTTAACTAAAAAATATTAAAGCTATTCATTAGGTATTATTCATATTTTTATAACGATTAATCTTTATTATTTAAAATTAGTTATCATTTTTAAAATAAAGGCACAAAATAAAAAAATAAATGATTATTCATTTAAAAAGATTAAATTAATGTTTATTAACTTTTTACAGTTTTTTAGAGGATATATTTTCGTTTTTGTATCCCCAGTCTAAATTCAATAAATTCAATATTGTTTGCAGATTGAACATATATGTTAATTGAATATATATCAAATCTTTACAAATATCGTAATCCAATTACTTACATATGAGTAAGTAATGATTTGTAGCATTGAGTAATTTGAGCAATTTATGATAAAAACTAAAAAATAGTGAATGTTGATTAAATGTCTATTTAAATAAAAGTCATTAGTATTAAATATTTTTGCCTATATTCTCTTCTTTTTTTTTGAAACCGCCATAATCCGGATATCCTTCGTCAACAAGTTGAGACTTTCTTAAATTTTAATATTTTTCTAATCAATGAATATTTAAAATTGTATCCGATTATATTTAGGTTTATAATTTAAATCTGTTTAACCACCATTAATTTTAATAATTAAATCGTCAAATTTTATTTTTGAATTAATATTTAATTCATTAATCGGTGCACTCATATAATTTAACACATCACTTGCTATTGTTAAAGTCCTGGTGCATCAGCGAAATTGATGATATTTTTTGATGTGCTGTTGATAATTTTTTCTCGTTGCACTTTGAACATGATTATTCTGTACAAATTATTTAATATTCACACGTAGAGATTACATAAAGTTTTTAATAATTTTCTATTATAGTACAAATTATTTAAATATAAAAATTTCTAAATCATATTACATTTATAGTTTATTATATTTTTTGGTTTATTTTGCCTTAAGTTTATCATCATTAGAGCCCGGATTTTTAGGCAAATGCCTGTTTTTTTCCTAGATAGGCCTGATGCTGAAACATTCAAATCCGGTATTATTTTACTGAAATCTGCTTTCTAACTAATTTTATTGTTGCCTAAAATTGCCTATTTTAGCTTTTTCTGACAAAGTGCCCTATTTTGCCTTTTTTCAGCCTATTTTGCATATTTTTGCTAAAATTTGCGATTTTTGGGCATTTTTTGAGAAAATTGTCGACTAAAAATTTTTTTCTGGTAAAATATAAAATTTTTCCAAAAAATTTTTGTCAAAAAATTTTTTTGGGAAAAATTTTTTTCTGAAAAATTTATCAAATTATTTTTGAAAACAAAATAATTAATATAAATTAATTTATATGTAATTCTGATCGTCAACATTAATTTATTTAACAGTTTATTGCTTAGATTTATCTTTTTTGATAAAATTTAGTCAATTTAAATTAGAAAATCTCGAAAAAATCCTGCCTATTTTGCCTTTTTTTCGAATTTTAGTGCCTATTTTGGCAGTATTTTAGTGCCTATATAGGCGCCTATTTTGAACTTTATCGTGCCTAAAAATCCGGGCTCTAATCATCATTGTTATTTTGTTAATAATTGCTCTTTATTAATCATTTAAATTTAATTCTAATTTTTGATTATTTTTCTTTATTGTTACTTGTTGATTTTATTGTCTGAATAATCAAATTGTCAAAGTTGTATCTTAGGTAAAAATATTTTTCCTTAAAAAGTTATTAATATTATATTTAGTATAAAAAGCATTTTATTTATAATAATTCAAGTTTCTAGTAGTTTAATTTAGTATAACATCTAATTCTACCTCGAGCAAATTTATAAAAATTCTATTGGAATTAGTTACTAATTTAATCTGAGTGTATATCTGAAGAAAGGTTCAAATCGTTCGTTGCGATATATTTATACGTTCTATAAGAAGTTCTGGCTAATTTAGATATTATAAAATGTTTAATTACAAAATAATTTTAAATTGAATATCAATTGATAAGTTTTTTTCTTTCACTAAAAATATTCATTAATATCTATTCATTCTTAATTAATTATTTATTAATTTATAACAAAATAACGAGACATATTGGATTTACAACTATAAATTTATCAAAATCATGATATGATAGATTTTTTTGATGGTCATGGAGACCAAACAGAAGTAAGCAATTTGAGTGGAAGGTAAGTTGTAAGTAGTTTGATTTAAATGAAAAAAGGAACTTTTTTAACTTAAAAAATATTGTCTTAAAAAAATAATATTGTTTTAATTATTTTAATTTTGATTAAAATTTGTCTTATTTCATTTTACTAATTTTTATAGCACTTTATACAAATTTTTATATTTAATTTAGTAAATATTATTTAAATTGTTAATTTGTTCTTATTTGTCATAAATTTTCATTTTATTTATAATAGAAATATTTCTAAAATAAATATTTCTTCTCTATTATTCTTTATGGTCCTGTCAATTTTTGTCTGAATTTATGGTCATTTTCTGGTTGGTGGTAATAAATTTATATTAAAACTATGTCAAAAATTTCTAACTTTTGTTCTTTGTTGCATTGTCGTGAAACTTATTCTGTTGGTCACGGGATTTTATAAAGGATTCCTTAACTGATGTTTGTGTCATTTTCATATGTAATATTTTTTTACTTTAAAATTTATCCAACTAAATTATTCTATTCGAATAATGTGAAACACAGAAATTGACGCAGTTACGCCGTTTAGGCCATACTAACAATTGTTTCTGCTCTGAAAATAACTAGTTTTTTCTGGTTTATATGGAAATAACATCAAATGCTTTCTATTTTCTACCTTTTTTTAAATTTATATTTTATTTATTTAATATATGTTTATCAGGCATTGAAGATATTGGTTTTTATGTTCTGGCTCGATTTAGTTATTGTGGATCGTGTCATTTTTTAATAAATAGATAGTATTTTTTATAATTAGATGTTATTTTTAACAAATGACAAGAAAAGTATTTTTAATAGATGGTATTTTTAATGGAAAAATTTTAAAACATTAAATTTACTTTAGAAATTAAATAAACAATTTATAAATTTATTTTGTAAAAAAAATCAATCTCGTTTAAAAGATTGGCAATAAAAATTTGAGGTTTCTTTGAAAAATTATTTAAAGATTAATAAGTAAAATTAGCTGATTGTGTTTTTGTTGTTGTATGTAGATTAGTATAAAATCAATTAATAAATTTATGATAGAAAATAAATTTGAAAATAAAAATAATTTAATTCTTAAATATAAATTAAATTTTTTCTGAAAAAAATTTAAAAAAAATTTTTTTATTAATTGTCATTTGTTTAAAAATAATAAAGAGAATAAAAATTGGAGGAAGATTTTTATTGTGGGAGGAGATAGGATTAGAGAAATAGAAGCCAAGTCTGCTTTCTCATCCTTTCTCTTCACTTACTAATCAATTCCCTTAGTGTAACAAAATAGAAAAAATGGTGCGCAATAAAAAAAAATTACGACTCTATTTACTAAAAAAATTACCCACTCTCTCATTCATCAAGGACGCACTAATCCGCCCCAATTAAATAAGGTTTTAAAGATTGCTTATTTGTATTTAATCGAAGCACACATAAAATTGGGGTGAATTTTATATTGAATAAACTTGATGTTGTATCGATTAACAATAAACCCAATTAAAAGAAATAACAAGAAGATTAAACTTGTTTCTATACATAAAACATTAAATGTAAAAAATATATTCTTCAATTATTTAAATAAAATTTATTTTTATTTAATTTAATAAATTAATTAAATCTAAAAATTTATGATAAATATTATTCAACAATTTGTTAACAAGCTATTACCAGAATTTAGTAAATTAATTAGTTTTATTATGAAAATTGTTGTCATTAATATTAATTTAAAATATTAAAATAAAAATAATTTAAAATCTATTAATAATTAACATTTATGATAATTAAACTATTAATAATTTCAAATATACAACAGTTTAGCGAAAAAGAAATTTTGAATATATTGAATGATTCAAGTAAAATGCTGCTATTCGGGTGTATCAGCAGGTATTTGTTGTCCTTCCGGTAAGCCATTATTATCTTCCAATCGCGAAGTTGAAGTTGCTGCTGATTCTTGCTGCTGTTCAACAGAAGTACGCGCAAGTAATGGCACAATATTTAGAAAAATATACAATTTTTAATTTATTTATATTAACGTATTTATTTATATTAACGTATTTATTTATATTAACGTTTATTTATATTAATTTATATTAACGTAATCTTTATAATAATTTAATTGATAAATTAGTTATAAAGTCTGATACATATGAATGTTAATAAATTCATAAAACTTTATGAAAAATAAATAAAAATTTAATTTTAATATATAGATTCTATTGATTTTAAACAAAAGTAT